ATTTTTGGAGGCATTTTCAAATCGGTCTACGTGAGCTGGACCTTAATATTTTTCCGAAATATTTTGGTGGACATTTTCAAATATAATAAATTTTGTAATCCCGCCGAAAAAACTTCAACTTTTTTTGCTGATGCAGTCTAAAATATATCTATACTTTTTTTGTGCCTTTTTGTAATCTTAGTTTAAGCCAGCCAGCTCGAGCGTTTGAACTAAGTTTAAACCACAGCCATGCACTGAAAAACTGGCCCTTGGAATGGTGTTATTTTTTTGTTCAATGATTTATAGGGTGTATGTGAAACAGTGAAGACTGATATTGCATATTTTTAGTGTTAATTGTAAACCTTGTTATTGTTTATATGCAGTATTGTTATTTCTATGTACGAATAACATGTGCAGGGAATAGAAATAATGATAGTGATGATATTTTTAACTATCACAGTTACGGCTAGACGGATAATGACAAAATGCCCCAACACTCCACAAAAATTTCATCCATGGGTCACAGATAATATCCCACGCTTTGTTACCTATGGTCAACTGTCAGAAGAAGCTCTGGTAACACGAAACAAAGACCTTAAGACCTACAAATGTTTTCTATTTGTCTCGCAAGTGCAGCAGAAAAAAGATGAAGGAAGATATATTCAATAGACTTTTGATCAGTTCCGACTGTGTTATATCAAATATTAGAAAACTACCCCAAAAAAATTGAAGGATTTGCCGAAAGAAGCAAAACATTTGATAATTATGGAGAACTATAGTGATGATGAAGATGTTGATAGCGATGACAATGACGTAAGATGATGACTGTTTTTATTAAAGGTTATATTTTTTTAAACTACGTTCTAAGCTTAAAAAACATAGAGACAATTTTTACAATTCGAATACATTAATATATAAAAAATTACCTATAAAGGACAATGATGTTTACCTTTTCATGAAAAATCAACAAAACAGTTGTTATTACATCACTTGGAAACGTGGGTGAATTAATCTGCTCTTTGAAGAAAACTTTTGAAAGTAGTATTTCCGTAAAGTGACGATGACAATAGTTATGAAGATGATGATAAAGATTATTATGATAATGATCGTGATGATATTAAGATTGTAATTAATGATGATTATGATTTTAACAAATTATTAGTCATAATACAAATTATTTATAAGAACTACAAGTAAAGTTGTAAAAAAATGTTGCCTCTAAACTATTTTCGGATTTGTCTTTTTTTACTTTACTTGGTGCTAGATATACAAATACATCAAAATATTTTAAATTAAATGTACGTATGAATTGATCTCCAGTTTCAGGCTCGATTACCCCACTGTGAGCCGATTTTTCAGAAATGATAAGTAGCACATTGTCCTTGACCAATTGGATGCTTCTTCTGAAGAAAGAAAGAAGTATATTTTATACCCACAAATGTAAAAAAAGTACCGCTCAATGACTACCATAAGAAAATTTCCTCTTTTTATAAAATACGCGAAATTCAGTTACAGTTGAGAGCAGCCTTTTTCTCGCAATTTGGTAACTGGCCCATCTGTTTAATATCTACCTTTTCATTCCTCAGAACCTACAAATAAACGTATGAAAACCCCATGCTTTAGGTCTGACCGGTCCAGACCTTTTATAAAAAGTGTGCGAGTTGCGCTAAAAATGTCCTGATTTTCTCGATTTTAGCAAGTACTTTAGTAATTTAAACCGTTAGTTTTGTTATGAATAACTATTAACTGATATTTACACATATAGTTGGTATAAACGACAAAATAGGAACCGCACTTGGCAGTGCAACTGCTTTGTGGCGGCAACAATATGCCAGTACGCAAAATGTCCCCCTCTCAACCATGTACAACCATTATAAAAAAGTTGAATATAATAATAATAATAACATAATAATAGATTGGCGCTTACACATATGTTAGTGTTTGGCCGAGCTTCTCCTCCGATTTGTGGCGTGCGCCTTGATGTTGCCACACAAAGCGGAGGGACCGACAGTTTTACGCCGACTCCGAACGGCGATTATATTTTTATGGCAGAAATACACTCGGGGGTTTGCCATTGCCTGCCGAGGGACGACCGCTGTTAAGAAAAAACCTTTTTTCTATATTTTTGCGATGTTGCTTTGACCAGGGTTTGAACCCAGGCATTGTGGAATGGAAGCGCGCACTGCTTACCACTACACCACAGCGGCCAGTGAATATAATTCACTGATAAATCTCTTAACTGACTACCATTAAAGAGGTAAAATTTCAAATCATAATTTATGTTAAAAAAGTACTTACTTCTTCAGTGTTTTGTATTTTATTCCAGATTTGTATTTACTCCCTCACCTCCGCGCCCCCGGAATAACCAGTGCTGAGTTTTGACTTTAATTTTATTGATGGACGTTATCTTTAAAATATGAACGCAAACTTCCTTTTGAATTTGCACGTTGTCCTGAAGCGTGTTACCCCTTCCCAAGCGGAATATGGGGAAGCTTGTGCAAGTCGAGGCGAGGAGGTGAGCGAGTAAATAAAAATCTGGAATATAATAAATATAAAATACTGAAGAAGTAAGTAGTTTTTTAATATAAATTATGATTTGAAATTTTACCTCTTTAATGGCCACGAAACTTCTTCTAAATACGCTATATGTGTGACCAAGGTATTTCATATGAATAGTTATTCAGTTAAAGAGATTTATCAGTGAATTATATTTAACTTTTTAATATTGATTGTATAAAGTAATAAGCGCGAAAATACGTTTACATAAAATTGTTTTGATAAAAGTATCTTCATCCCGATTTTTTAGCGGATTTGGCTTTGAGGTACAGGTGCGCTAAGTGGTTGGCCATAGCTGAATGTGTGTATGTGTTAACACATTTGTCCCCGCCGTGCATGCTTGGTGTACATACAATTTCTTAATTATGAAAAAGCACCCGTGAAGTGCAAAATTCATAATTTCAATAATTAATTGCATTGAATATTTGCGTTGAACATAGACTACTTTTGACCACGTTTTATAAGTGCGTGCTAAATTTTGGTATTAAAGTATAATCTTTAAATACAAACACTTTTAATCGATAATCAAATAAAACATATTCATTTTTACTATTCGTTATTTTCCTCAGTGTAAGTCTGTAACTTGGTTCATTATTAACCAAGTTTCAGTTTCTTAAGGTGCCCACACTCACTGAGGTGTACGTATTCCGTATCTGTTTGACGTAGCAATATATAAAATTGACTGTTGATAGAGAGAAGTACGCGTAAACCGGTTTTAAAAAGAAGAAGCTTGGAGCTTTCGAAAGATATGTATAAAATTTTAGATCTGTGCGTATTTGCCCAGCAAACAAAATTTTTTTGAACATTTTTAAATTTTTTTAAAAATCGATTCAAAACTGACTGAGTTAGAGTAGTGAGAGTAGTGATGCTGAATGCCAAAAATGTTATTTTATTTTTTAATGGTTGCTTAATCTCTTTTTTTTTTTTAATTCAGCATCATCAGTTTCTCCATGTAGTGAACAGCAATATTCTGAAATAATTTTTCATGGATAAGTTGAAAAACTCAGTCAGGTTTGAATCGTTTTTGAAAAAATATTGTTTACTGAGCAAATACACAAAGATATAAAATTCTATACATATCTTTCTTTTTAAAACCCGTAAAGCTGCCCACACTCACCGACGTGTACGTATGCCGTGTCTATTTGACGTAGCAACATATAAAATTTACTGTTGATAGAGAGAGAGAAGTACGCGTAAACGTCGCACGTACACGGTGGTGAGTTTTCATTTACATGGTGCTCTTATAAGTACGTTACGTACGATCAAACTTAGCGCCATGTAAATGAAAAGTCACCACCGTGTACGTGCGACGTTTACGCGTACTTCTCTCTCTCTCTATCAACAGTAAATTGTATATGTTGTTACGTCAAACAGACACGGCATACGTACACGTCGGTGAGTGTAGGCAGCTTTACGGGTTTTAAAAAGAAAGATATGTATAGAATTTTAGATCTTTGTGTATTTGCTCAGTAAACAATATTTTTTCAAAAACGATTCAAACCTGACTGAGTTTTTCAACTTATCCATGAAAAATTATTTCAGAATATTGCTGTTCACTACATGGAGAAACGGATGATGCTGAATTAAAAAAAAAGAGATTAAGCAACCATTAAAAAATAAAATAACATTTTTGGCATTTTGGCATTTAGCATCACTACTCTCACTACTCTAACTCAGTCAGTTTTGAATCGATTTTTAAAAAAATTTAAAAATGTGCAACATAATCTTGTTTGCTGGGCAAATACGCACAGATCTAAAATTTTATACATATCTTTCGAAAGCTCCAACCTTCTTCTTTTTAAAACCGGTGGGAAACTGAAACCCGGTTAATAATGCACTAATTTAAAGACTTAGAAGCGTGCAAAAATACGGAAAGACGGTTTTTAAGGGGACGTCAAGATTTTAGGGGTGTTTGTAAATTTCGTATTTTGATTCTTACTCCACAAGACCTACCAGAAAATTAACATAACTTTCCTATTTTAACTATTTTGTTCTCAAGGAAAAGTTGTTATGATCCAAAAATATGAGTATATCGGCCAAATTTTTTTTCTACAAATTTTAAAAGTTTATCGTTTTTAGCCTATATTTGTGACAATAGCATACAAAGCAAATATAGGCTAAACATTGATGAATTTTTAAAATTTGGGGGCAAAAAAATTGGGCGCTATACTTTTTTGGATCATGCAATTTTTTTTTCTCTTGATCTAGTAAAACTAAGTATGAGGCATTGTTCGTATGGCCAACATCTATGCGCACTCTTGGGTTTTTAAGTTTATTTTTGTTTCACAGTGTAATAAGTATGAGCACAATAATACAAAGCATAGGCGCATTCACTAGCAAATGTGCAAAAGTAAATTACATTAATTTACTGAATACATACATATACTATGCATTCGTAAGTATACAGTAACTATAAGCTTAAAAAATAAGTACGCTTGGCAAGCATATAACCCAATATTACTTACTGATACACAGGCAACATTATTGGTAAAGGATGAGCAAGATGTGGTGCTGATTCAAGCATAGATGCTCGTTCTTGAAGCGCTTCTTTAACCATTCTATACTGTTCAAAGTCTAGCTAAAAATAAGATATTCAAAAGGTGTAGTTAATACAATAATTAAAAATTTGTTAGAAATTAGCTCGAAATAAATTTGTGTACAATGATAATTATATGATGCTTTTGTTAGTATGAAATAATTAAGCCAACTTTAAAGCTTCAAACCAAACTAAAACCACCAAAAATTACACAGTGCTACAAAAACAATCGGTGTACAACCGAAACATAACTTATGTAGACCAGTGGAATACAGCAGTATAGAATAAAATATGGAAATATGGTCCATATGGTTTCTGAACCCTCCATTTTTTATTTAAAAGAAAGAACATTATGCTGGATTTCAACTAGGCATTAAATGGCAAAAATGATAAATGACCAAGTTTGGCATTAAAAAAGAATCGTGCCATTTCCACATGGTATTCTTTTTAAACGCCAAAAATTTTTTTGCCATTTCAATACCTTGTGGGATTCGGCATTATTTTCATACTTGATGCACTCATCTAGATATAAATATGCACATACATAGATAATTTGAATGTTTTTTCACCCGATTTTAAAAATCAAAAACATGCATACTAGGGCTGATGATACCCGGGTTCCCGGGTAAATCGGGTAATGCCCGGGTTACCCGGGAAAATCGGGTAATACCCGGATAATTGGGTACCCGGGTAACCCGGGCATTACCCGATTTACCCGGGAACCCGGGTATCATCAGCCCTAGTATGCATGTTTTTGATTTTTAAAATCGGGTGAAAAAACATTCAAATTATCTATGTATGTGCATATTTATATCTAGATGAGTGCATCAAGTATGAAAATAATGCCGAATCCCACAAGGTATTGAAATGGCAAAAAAATTTTTGGCGTTTAAAAAGAATACCATGTGGAAATGGCACGATTCTTTTTTAATGCCAAACTTGGTCATTTATCATTTTTGCCATTTAATGCCTAGTTGAAATCCAGCATAATGTTCTTTCTTTTAAATAAAAAATGGAGGGTTCAGAAACCATATGGACCATATTTCCATATTTTATTCTATACTGNATTAATAATAATTTGGTAAAGTATTCACCAAGACCGGCGGCCGCTGTGGTGTAGTGGTAAGCAGTGCGCGCTTCCACTCCGCTGCACCTGAATTCAAGCCCTTTCGCCGGAATTTTGCTGTTGGACATTTATACAAAAAAAATTCAAAACCATTTTTTTTTTCAAAACGCGCTTTTCATAGGTTGAGCCTTATAATTGTTCGTAACTTAATTTCTGTTTATCCGATGAAAAATATTTACATTGCGTACACGATAACCGCAACCCATGATTCAATAATGAAAGGTTTTGTAAGAAAAACTTTCCCTCAATCTAATTTTTTCAATGACCCTACTCCTAAAAACAAAAACAGTGATATTTCTTTTCCAAATTTCTTTGCAAGCTTTAAGAGCAATTTTAAATTTTTAGTATTGAATTTTTTACTTTTTAAATTTGAAGAAATGTTTGTTCTGCATTCGCTGGCGACAACAAGTCAAAATGGGTGAGATTCGTTGGACTACAGAAATTCAATGTAGGCTAAAGAGACGAAATTTCCTTATATGCCGAGCATGTAGTTGTATTTGTCGACACTCGTGGATATCTATTGATTCTGTCAGTCGCTGTAAGGTAAAGCGCGCAATGGTTCTGGTAAATGAGTCAACAAAGGTATTTAGGTATTGACTTACACTCCCGAATGAGACTTCAACGCAGTATAATATTGGCAAACCACATCCATCCGTCTGACGTACGCAACTTTGGTATATATGTACATATACATATATATTTATTTTAAATAACAATCAAGAGATATATTCGATGTAAATAAGCTCGTTTAAATTAAATATTTTAATCACTATTATTACCACCTTTTTGTGGAATTTAGCTACCATTTTAGGAAATGTGATTGAAGGGGGGACCCCTTTTTATCCTACTTTCAAAACCCATCCCTGCGGGTGGGAGTGTCAAATTTTAGAAAAAAGCTACTTACGAAACCTTTCATTATTGAATCATGGCCGCAACCCTCAATGCGTGCAATTCCTTGATTAAAGCAAGTCTCTAAAGCAAAACATTGTAACCTTTATAAATGCAACTTCAAAACAATTTAACCTCAATACCTACAACATACTTTGTTTGTGCATGCCACGCACATAAAATTTGAATTTTTCGCCTTTCTTTGACTTACCTACCAGTATTCTGGAAAAACTAAAAAGTGGGGTTTCCGTTAAAGTGATATGTGATGAGTTTAAAATAAACAAATCAACTGTTAACAGAATTAGGCTGCGTTTCACCAGATTCATTTATGTGAAAATTGCTTTATTTTTCGAATTTTCGGTGTCACCAATCAATTTTGATTTGTTTTTAATTTTAATTTAAGTGCCCTATGCTCTTCCCTTAAATAAAAATTAAATCAGAATAACCACACTCAGACATGTTACACGTTTAATCAGCTGATCAATATACACACACCACAATTTTGTGTATCTGCTGCTTACTTGTATACCAGCCCTGCTTTTATAACACAGCGTGCCAAAGCTTTCAAAATCGCTCAGTACAAATGATGGAGAAACTCAGCCTTAGTCAAAATGAAAGCAAAAGTAAAGATAAAAAATATAGAAGCCGCACTTGAGAAACGGCAAACTTTAACAGCCAGTTTCACCAAACTCTTTAAGTGGAAATTAACTTTAATTTAATTTTTTATTTAATTCTCATTTAAATTATTTTCAGTTTCAATAAGCTATTTATTTAAGTGAGTAAAAAGTGGTTGTAAAACCGACAGCTTTAGAAAGCTTTGGCACGCTTTGTTGTAAAAGCAGGGCTGGTATACAAGTAAGCAGCAGATACAATACAACACTTACGACGCCGTTGTGCGGGAAACAGTGATATATTTCAAATAAGGCAGATCGGAATATGCGCTCTCTGGGAAGACAATACCTGTAATAATTGTACCATGCTACCCATAGTACAATAATTACAGGTATTGTCAAGACATATTTGATAAGGTAGTAGTGACTGGCTCGAACTCTTTTGTAGCTAGTTATAATGTCAAAAAACTGTAAACAAATAAATTAAGCCTTTGAAGTGCGAGTGTTATGTTTACTACAAATTAGCATCAATTGAAACGCATCATGGTGAAATTATACCAGGTGTAGTAATAAGAGCGAGATGAAAGATTTGACACTATTTTATTTGAAAATTAGCCTTTAAAAATTTGTATAAGAAAGCCGAATGCTACGAAAATAAAGCGATAAAGCTGTTTTATTGCTTCACCTGTTTATAATTTCACCGTGGAAACGCATCAGCATAAATACATACATATGTGCGTATACTAATTTTAAGAACTACTTCAATATTACCTTCAAAGAACTTTAACTGCATTCGCATCTTATATGAGTAGTCCACTTGCAAAGTGCTTTATGTAAATTTTTTTTTCGATTTTTAGTTTTTGGTGGTTAACGTACCAGTATATAAAGTAGATTCATGTCCCCTAACAATACAGTGCAAAATCCTTATATATTCTGAAAAAAATAGCATCAAATGTTAGCTACTCTAGCAAAGGTCGCTACAATACTTACTGTATGTATATACACACTTTTAAAAGTCGCTATAATATTTATTGTACGTATTCATACAAGTTCAAAAGTCTCCATCTTCTAATGAACTTAGAAAACACGTGGTAGTTTCGCTGCCTAGTGGAAGACGTTGTAAAAAAGAAGTAGACCAATCTTCATGGAAGAGAAAACTCGAAAAGTTAAAAAAAGCTAGCTAAAGTTACTTTTTCAAAACCCGCTATATTAATTTTTTACATATAAAATTTGCAAAAACTACCACACTTCGATATTATTTTTTAATGTTATTAGGCTCTTATTTATCCAAATACTCAGATAATAAATAAAAAGATACAATTTGGATTTTACTTGTTGTAGACGTTTTTCTCAATTTATGGCTTACTATTATAAAATCACATAACGCTGTTTGCAAGTGGACTACTCATATACACATATACATATGGACAGAAACGAATATCTCATAAAGGTAACCACGTAATTAAATGAAAGAAATGTTTTATGAAACTGTTTTAAACATCTTTTTGTTTCTATTCGCCCAATGTTTTTGCGCGTTTAGTTTCTTATTTAAATATTTAATTCTAAAATATATCCTTCACTTATGAAAAAAAAGGATTTAATGCTTTCTTCTACATACGTATGTATGTATATCAGTGTAAATCCTGACGTGGTTATGTGAGCATAATTTTGTAAGAAACTACTTATTTCTTGCAGAATTACTCAGCTTTGAACTTTGGTGTGCTTCAGGCGTTTCAGGCACAGGAACCTCCCATGGCATGGGAACTCCACCTGGGTATTAACGCATGCGCTTAAAAATAATTGCCTGCAATGGGCAAGTAATCACTCGCGTTGAAATTATTTTCACAGACACGGGAAGAATCTTCCAATTGAACACCGCAGCTGTCCTACCAACGAAGTCTTCTAACTTCGCAACTAGGCGCCTTAAAGTACCGCACCACTTTAACGTCTTGGCTCTTGTCACACACAATGCAACGGTCGTAGTTCCTGCTCCTTTTCATTTTTGTATATACCCTGCAAACCAAAGTTCCCGAAATCTTAAGGAAATCGTTAGGAGTATCTCATTTCTGTAACGATTTTTTTACGAATTTTCAAAGAAAATTATATGAAGGGGTTGACACGAACTCGTAAAGAAATTTCTGTACGAAGAATAAAGAAAATTCTGGAAAAATTCGGAAAGATATTCTTCACATAGCAGTAATATTTTCGTTGCTTCACAGATTTTCTTCCGAAATTTCGTAAAAGAATGGAAGTGTGCGTAATTTATTTCATTTTAGAAAATTCGGCGAAAAATCCAATTAAATCTTAACGAATTCTTTAAAATTTCTTTACAATGCAGAATACTCTGAAACAATGGTTTACAGGGTAGATTCACACAATTCAAAACTGTGTGAGAACGTAATTGAATTTTTAATGAA